TTGCTTTCATGACCAACCCGTAAAAGTCCAAAATTGCTGATCATGATGATTTCTTATATATTTACGCGAACACTGCACTCTAAAATTTTAACCTTGAGATAACCGTGGTTAACTATGACATTGCGGCGTCGAACCCGTCAGTCCCCCCCGTGACCATGGGTGCTGTATTAACTTATTGTATATACCCGGTAATACCCGATACCTGGTAAGACATGCAGGAAGTCGATGGATGCAGGTGGCTCAGGACCGTGCTTTGTGGCATTCTTTGGGGGAGGCCTATGTTCAGCAGTGGACTTGTGAAGGGCTGTAATGATGATGATGATATACCCGATGTTTCGAGCACTTTGCTCGAAACATCGGGTATATAAAATAAGTTAATATACGCGATAGAATCCGTAAAAACTAGTTTTATTTAATTCAAGCTTATCAGGCGGATTGACGACCCCAGTACCAGACGTCTCGCACTCCGGACGCTATTTTAGGCCTAGCGTAAACGAGATTTGAGTAGATTATACCGCCACCAAGTCGAAAGATCTTTTTGACGTATTACGTAGACGTCACTTACTACATCAGTGCGCTTTCCTGTTCATCTTGCATCTTCCTCTAACGCATGCCTGAGCAACCATAGCGCATGCTATAGCGCATGCGCTATAACTAGTTCGACAACAGCGCATGCCTCTAGGGAACGCTGATCGGTCACCGGCGGGTGTGCATGCAACATTTCCTGCATTTTAGTAAACAAAATGGCGGAAGACAAGGTTAAAACATTAGATAATGAGTGTTATGTTTCGTAATTTTTGGTTCCACTATTTTCAAAAGCTTATAGAAAGTGGTTTTAATCATTCGTGTGAAAGTTGAAACGCAAAAGGAACATGAAAACGAAACTGAAAGCGCACTGGTGTAGATATAGCTAATTAGGTAATGGATTCTCTTAGGCCCGCAACACACGGCAGACCATTTACACGAGGCTAATTATTGACACAATTTACATAAACAGGACACTAAGTCAGTCAAATGAAAAATTATTTGTTTATAGCATTGATATAAACACAAAAGAGAAGATTACGGCGAAAATTGATTGTACAAGCAGTATATAATCGAAATCAGAACGTGCACTACTAAACACTAATTAAAACATTAGGCGCTAAAACAAATCCAGAAATAGATAGGCTATAGAATAATTAGTTTTGAGAGCTAATTTAAAAAACGCTGCTATTTAGAAAAAAAAAAGGTGCAACGATAATTGATATAATAAAGAAAGATATAATCTTTAATACGATATAGTGAATTCTACCTTGGATATCACGGCGTTAACCATTACTCGTAATTACGCTCGTAATGGGGAAGCTAGGGGCGCTGATAATTTTGAAAAAGTTTTTTGAATTGAATCAAGTGAAATTGAACTAATGAAAACAGCAATCCATTAAGATGTCAGTGCCTCATTCACACAATGCTAGTTATGAATTGTCACAATAATTGACCTCGCGTACATGCTCCATTATGTTAACGCGATACTATCGAATTAGTATGAACCATTAATAACCCATTCTCAATACAATATATAATTCACCCGAAAACTAATAAATTGTATTTTTAACCGTCTTCAAAAAAGAGGAGGTCGACTGTATGTTTCTATGTGCGTTACCTCATAACTTTTTTGTAGGTGAACCGATTTTGATTGTTTTTTTTTTTATTTGAAAGTTCGTGCTTCTTATGTGGTCTCATATAAATTTGGTAGTTTTTGAGTCATCCTTAATAATTTATATTGAAATCAGTTGTACAAAATTTTTAATTTTGCCACTTGTTTCCACAATGATTAAAACACAGGGCTCAAATCCCTAGAAAGGAACTCACGCCGCTGACCATTACAGCTAGAATTGTGCTTAAAATTATTTGTTGATAATTTTTCAATAAAAGTTAAGATAAATAGGTAACATTTACAGAATAATACCTTACCTCATTTATGTAAAAAATAAACACAAGCTGCAACAATAGCATTTGTAATCCGCACCGACAAAATTATGACGCACATAAATATACGAGAAGTACATATTTTATTGTTTAATTTAATATTTTATCGTCGACTATATCGAGTAGTTGCTACTGTGTTACAATCCATTTCGATATTTCGAAATATGAAAATTTTCTAGGCGGAATTCAAAAATTGTAATGTATCACATCAAATTGTGTAGAACTATCTACAAAATTGAAAATAAAATTCACTTCAAACGTATTTTCACGGAGCTTTTAACGGGAGTCAGCCAAGTGCCTCGGAAAGCACGTTAAGCCGTTGATCCTGCGCCTGATCTCTCTCCGGCCGCGTTAAATTGGCGTCCCATCGGAAAAAAGTGTGACGGAATAGAGCGCGTACCCGTGCTTGCTTACGTACATACTCCTATCTTGCTTACGTACACACTCGTATCTTGCTTACGTACACACTCCTATCTTGCTTACGTACACACTCGTGCACTTTAATTTTTTTTTATTTTTTTTTACCAACATTTACAAAAACATTACGTAATTTTATAACTTCGCCAAACTGTAAAGACAGTTTGTTGGCGAAGTCTTGTTTTACGCAGATGACTAGTCTTCATTGAGACTGACCGCCGTGATTGAAAAGCCTGGAGGGATGAGACAACATTATGCTGCTATTCCACTTAAGTATTTTAATGCGCGGTCCTTCTCCAGTCGAGATATTTTTCTATTCATGATGCAGCGTTGTCCTACAGAAATATCCCGAAAATGCTGTTTGATTGCTAAATAATCGATTGGCGTGTTAGTCGTCTACTAGAAAATCTTACAATTTGGGACACAATAACTTAGATTTTCTACATGTATTCTTAGATCTTATAATTATTTGTTAATTCCCGAGTTAAAAAATCATGCCTGTAGATAACAAAACTGAGGAAGAATACTGGAGGAAAGTATTGGAATCTTTTTCATGAAAACACTAAAACTGACAGCAGTTTGTCACTGTGCTAGCAAAACAGTATTCGTTTTTGTGCAAGCACCACTGTGACAGTCAAACAGCTGTCACCACTCAAATAGGCGTGTAACTAAAACACTGTAAACACAAACTTAAGTTTATAAAATACGGAGACAGAGCGCTGTTGCAACTACTATTTGGACGTCTGCCATTGTCTGATGTTAAATTCGAAAGAAACCTGAAGCGGCAATGTAAAGATTCGTCTCTTTGTTGTTCAAATTATTTAGGGTAACATTTACCAACGACAGCGAGGAGGGCACTGGAACATAATACATTATTAAAATAAAAAGAGGATATTATCTCCCGCTGTGTGGTGTTCAGTTCAGCGAATAACGCTCCATGTAGCAGGTTGGCAGGATGAAACTTGTTCTAATTTTTCTTTAATAATACTGAAGTGACTAACGAATTTACAGTCTACCTGATGGTAAATGGCTTCTGCGGTCCCAGTATGCCAGTCGATCTCAAACAAAGAAGGCTGCAGATTCGTTGTCGCCTCTAAGGATAAAGATGGAATGCCTTAGAATCTGTAATTATATTGGCCTTCAGTTAATACAGCAGTACAGGCATTGCTACTTGGCGGCAGAAATAGGTAAGAGGGTGGTAGCTACCCAGACGGACTGCGAGGAAAAAAGGAGACCTAACACTTTCCGACCTAAAACCTTTCGCTAATGAGGGCATCCACGACTTTTTCTGCCACCAGGGCGGCGCCACTAGAAAGTGAGATATAATATTCGACAGATTTCATAGTGGGGAAGATAATTTGTTTCGAAAATGTAAAAGTTATTGTTTCTTGTTGTACTATTAGCTATATTTTATATTAATAACATTAAATATATTTAAACCAAACCACAGATACTTATAAAAGTAGAAAAATTAAAAACATGTTAAAAATGTGAAAAAATTAAAGAGCAAATCACGGACGCATTATTTTGTGTATTAATACAATAGGTACTCTAGAAACTGATAAACTTTTATTAAAAAACAACTTTTCAATTTAATTTTTATTTACAATATTAAAAACTTTAATAACAATAAAAAAAAACTAAAACTAGAAACTTAATTATCATATAGACCTACTCCCCGCGGTATCGTGCCAAGAACGCTGGCTGCGTTTCCCCGCTGAACGGCTATACTTAGAATTAAATTACATTGTGTAATAAAAAACTACCTGTGTCCACTAGCGGCATCTGGTGAGCAGAAAATTATTAGCCTTCATTTCTTAAGATTTCAGATTTGGGCTTCGGCTGTAGTTCGGTCCGTTTAACATTATTGTAGCGCCATAGAGTGGGTAATTAGACTAATAATTCACTGCGCCTCCTTTTCCCAAAAGAGGGTCGCTTCCGATTCGGCAGAAAGGCCTAATAAGCCAATTCCAGTCCCCCAGGTGGTGTTTAGTGGGTACACTTAGGGTGGTTAGGTTAGGTTAGTCACAGTGAGTTCCACATAACCACGACAGCCAGCTGTCGTGGTATGCATAAAGCATTCACCACCTCTTCGCGTTAACGGGGTAGCCGTTTTCAATTGCTTCTGGGCGCAAAAAAAAAAAACTAATAATTCTATGTGTAGCGCGACAACAGCTTCGCCAAACAGGTGTAAATAGATAAAATACTTATTATGCAAGTATAATAAGCACTGATTGTAAAGTAAATCGATTTTTAATTTCCTGGGACCGAATTAGTACATTTTTATATTAACACTCCTTTTATAAATTTGTTACTACGACCTCTCGTTAAAATGTATTAAAATTAGGCCCATTAAAATGTACTAGCTATTAAAAACAAAGATAAAATCGAAAAAAAATTGAAACAACACATAAGACATTTCATTTCTGTATTTATTTGCACAATCTAAATAAATATAATTATTTTTTTTTTATTAAGTATTAAGTAGGTACTATACAAATAAAAAAATATACGTACTGAAGCAAAGTTTAAGTATTTATGTTATTTAAAACAATTTTAATGACGTGTTTCCAATCACTATTCTCACTAGTGCTACAATGAACATCAAAATTCTAAACTTCGTCTGATGCTAGTTGTTCATCGTTAGGTGTGTTAGGTTGTTCCGGAAGTGAGTTCAGTTCCGGCTCACTGGGCGGCACTTCCGACAGTTGTACACTAGCGTCGCGAAGCAGGTTCATGAGCACCGCTAAGGAGCTCGCAAGCTGATCGAATAAAATTAATCATAAATATGGGACATAATAAAGCAACAAAAATCTTGTAATCCCTCAATTTAGAACTTATCAAGCATAATACATTTTAACCTACAATAGGATTTCTTTTAGAAGAGTAAGGTTGACAAATTAACACACACTAACACACTGATGATGCTCTATACACCTGCCGTGCCAATATTTTTCGGGAAAACGTCGCCGAGTACCGGAACAAATTTTTGTCTGAAGTCGAGTCTTTGCTGAACAAAGTCTCGGATTGGGGGCGACTAAATCTAACTCAGTTTAATCCTCAGAAGACACAAGTTTGTGCCTTTACCGCTAAAAAGAACCCCTTTGTCGTATCTCCTCAGTTTCAAAGTACTCCCCTTGTTGCCTCAGCCACGCAACGCCGGCAACGCATCTGGAATTCCCCTGGTTCCCCTGGCGTTGCAGTTGTTCATGGGCGGCGGCCTAGTCACTTACCATCAGGTGAGCCGCAAGCTCGTTTGCCCCCTCTCCTATAAAAAAAAGATGCATTATAAGATTCTCATACGGTTCCCATCTAATATCAAAAATTAATATGTATTTGTTTGTTCCTCGTCTATGCATTCCTATAGCAGTTATCCGATTACGCTGAATTGAAAAAGAGGCAGTGTTTAATTTCGAGATGTTGGCGCTGTTAGCCTATGCGGCCCTTACAGCTTCATCGGACACAGGGCTCGCGGCCTGAAAGGCCGGAGGCATTACACGCATGATGGGCAGAGCTACGGGGCAGGACATTTACGTAATAAACGAAATCAAATTACACTTTTTAACCGACTTCAAAAAGGAGGAGGTTCTCAATTCGAGTGTATGTTTTTTGTATGTATGTTAAGCGATATCTACGCAGGCTATGAACTAATTTTGATGATTCTTTTTTTATTAAATAGGATACACTTCAAGGGTACTATTTGCCACCCCTAAGGGTAGCAAATAAATAACTTCTTTTTAGCAATTTGAAATCGGTTTTTACTTTTTGTTAAAAATTATAACAACATTTGAAATGGTACGGAAGGTATTTTGTTAAGTCGAAAGTCGATTCAGTCGGCAAAACCTTCTTCTGCACAATAGACTTATGTTAGTTCTATTATGTTCTATAATGAACTCATTACGAGCGTAGACGTAACTATTAAAGTATTCAACCATACCTGAGCGTCGGTGTTGCCGTCTGTTTGCAAAATAAGCGCGGTATTCCTAGCCTCTTCCACGGCCTCCATCATTCTTCCAGCCCGGGCGTGCCTACCAGCTAGGTTGAGCCTCAGCAGGGCATCATGTGGTGCCAGTGCCACGGCCCTGGTATACGCTGCGTCTGCTCTGTTATCGCCCAGGGATTCTAGCGCTATACCCAGCAGTAGCACCTGTTGTTACGAAGATACGAGGTTTTATGTTATAACAGACACACATCTAATTAGAAGAAGAAGTTTCGAATGGTGAGTGTAGAGAACCAGAGACTCTTTTTACTGGAAAAGAGGCATTCCATCGTAGTCCTCACGGGTAACGAAGCATCTGCATTTTGATTCTTTATTGAGGATAAATGTAGATGTCTATGGGTCACAGCAACCACTTACCATCAGGTGGACTATGTGCTCGTCTGTTACCCATATTCTATAAAAAAAAAACAGGAAATTTCAGAAACAATTTATAGCTTCCGAAAGTAAGTAGGCAGTAAAACCATTTCGTTTATGCCGGATATAAATTACTCATACCGGTGGTGGGGAGCAGCGTAAGACGTCTCAAATTGCAATCGCTAATACGGCTTCCAAGCCTTGCAATAATAGCAAATCCTTCTAAAGCGTCTTCCACACACAAGCGGCTGGCTGACCGCGAGCCACGGCTCCAGCCACTGCAACAACACACTAAAGGTACTCTGTGAACACACCACTGTGGTCGCAGTGGTGGCGGTTTGAAGCGCCATTAGTTGTGATGTCTGTGCTACAATCGGACGTCAATCAACAAGGCTAACCGTGACGAAGTCTTATAACTCTTATTATATTCAGCAATATTATCCCATATTTTGTTTTTAATTCTAATGCTTTTGTAATCATAGTGTGAAGAATCATAAAGTAGGTAATGGATAATTTTGCATTGTTTCTATTAAAATTTCTGCATTTAGCGTCATTTTTAACGCGATACGCCACGCGGCGGAGTATTACGATGTATGTGAATAATTATAATTAATTATTTGCTGGACACCACGAACCCATTTTGCATCCAGCGAGACAGTGTTTCGCCAACATTTATCCTCGTCCTCGATTACGAATCAAAATCTGAGAACTGTCTCGATGATGCCTCGTAGATAAAAGTCCTCATTTCCAGTAAAAATGGTAGCATTAAGCAGCTATTTCATGCTGGTAAGAATTCTGTGATAGCGTGGTCCTTCCCGATCAAGCCAATCCATTCTTAAAAAAATTTCGTATCGTGCTAATGGATAGTGAAATGGGCTTTACGTTCGTCAAAGTTGTCTTGCATCAAGCATGCTAGATCGTATGGAATACTTGCTGTATGTACAAACGATCCGTCGCATTCTTACTTCGTGCTGGACATATATTTAGCAGCGGAGAATGGAGCGTTAAAAGCATTTTGGCGTAAGATATCTTCGCCTTAAGATAGTTTACTGTGTAAGGCTGCGCAGGCTGTAAGGCGGCGGCGCTGGCGAGGCGACAGAAGGCGGAGGCCGGTCGCTTGCAGGTGAGCAGCGCCAGCGCTAGGTTGTGAGCTGCGCGCGCACTCAGCGGCGCCGCGCTCACCGAGCGCTGCAGGCACGTCAGCGCCTGCCACAGCCGAACTGCTGGTTACTAACTTGTATTTCTACAATCGTAAACGCTAATAGATAACTAATCTATAAATGAAACCAACAATCAGTCACGTGACAGTCATATGACTTAGAAGTCACAAACACGGACTCGCCCACAGACCCTTCTTTTCTATGTCCCTGGTCCTAATCCTGTATCTATTATATCGTTACTATGACAAAATTCGTTATTTTTTTTTAAATACTAGTAATGCTATTAAACATTACTAATATTCCCTTTAACCACTTCTGGTAAACTTAAAATGCTTCTGTTAGAAGTGGTTCACGACAGTAGTGGAATGGTGGATTCGAACCCACGACCTTTCGAGTTCGCGGTCCGCGCCCTGCCATTAGACTACTGACGCTTTCAATTATTTATTACTTTCATGCTTTCCGAGGCACGAAGTTGAAACACCGACAACTTCGTGACTTGGGGCTGCTACTTAATAAGTGATGTTGACCCGAAATGTGATTAGAACTAGACCAACGGAATATGAATAGAAGATCATTAATTATGTACTACTATTTTGAAGCTTACAGCAACATATTTCTTCTTAGCTAATAAAGCTAGTCCTAGGTTCGAATGTGCAGCCACACAAGTCGGGTGTGCTGACAATGCCGCCTTCAGCCTTGATAATGCTGCATCTACATCCTTGTGTTGGAGCATCATGGCGGCTAGTGCCAAGGCAGCGGCGTGCTGTGTCGGTTGCTGGGCAAGAGCTGCTCCGAGAAGCTGGAAAGCTCCTCGTGGGTCGCCAGCGCGGAGACGAAGTGCTCCGGCCGCAGCAAGAGTGTCCGCTCCGCAGACATTCGTGCTAAGATACAAAAATAAAAATGATTGATCAACCGTAAAAAGGAAAATGGGTTTTTATAGTAATACAAAAACATATATCTTCACGTGTACCAAAAAGTAACGTCCAAACGAAAAGAAGCTATAGACCATGGTCTGACTGGCCAGTTTACTGTCAAAAAACAAAATAATAAAAATCACTAAACCACACACTTTTCCTTGAGTGTGTCTAGTGATTGTCACAAGTTTTATAAAAAAGATATATCTCTAAAATCCTAGCACATTCATACACAGCTTTTTTTTGTTATTTAGCCATTAAAACCCTGTGGTCTAGGTATATAATATGGTTTATATCGTTTTCGGTGAGACATTGCTTTCTAAGACAATTCAGGTCTTGCAATACCAGTATCATTAAGACCATTACTACTTATATAATAAATTAAAAAACTTTTTTAAAAACAAGCTTTTATTCAAATGCGCTAAAAAGAATAAAATAAACTTTTCCTTAAAAATTTTACTATCAACTTATAACGTCATTACACAATTTTCATGATATAAAAACTTGTCGCGAGATTTAAGTTCTCCTATACTTCTTAAATCTCGCGTTTTATTTAATCCGAAAATTAAAAATTAAAATCAACCAGACCATGTTTATCTAATAGTAATAGGAAATTTAGCCCAAATTAGGGGCTTTTTAGGTGCTAATTAGGTACCTAATTTTGGGTATTTCTAAATGCAAATTCCTGACTTTGCGTTGTTGGCGAGATACAGCTGATCTTTTGTTTTCTTGTTGACTTGCATTTTAATTTATATATAGGTAATCATGATAGGCCGTTACATTTTGATGTTTGTAATTAATGTCATCATAATGTCAACTAGTAAATATTTTTTTTTATAGAATAAGGGTAATAAACGAGCACAGAGTCTACCTGATGGTAAGTGGATGACTAAGATGGAATGCCTCGTTTCCAGTAAAAACGGTCTCCGGTCTTCTCTACACTCACCATACGAAATACAACATTGCTACTACTATGAATAAGCATTGGCTACTATTTTACACTGGTACTTTGTGAGATCGTGGTTCTTCCCCGGTCGAGCTGACCCATTCGCATTACTACAACTAGTAATAGCTGTAACGTGGAGTAATGTAAAGGTCACTGAAATAAAAGCAGCTAGTTTTCTCGTATTTCTATTAATAGTAATAGCTGTGTAAACCTAATTAATGAAAAAGAAACTATAAGTAGATAAATCGGTTCACAAAAACGTTCAATCGAATTCGGAAATATTAAACAAAATCAATAATAAGATAATTTTTTCATGTTATCTATAACTATGGCAATTTAAAAACAATATGTTAGATATTTCAATCATTTGAATACTTAACTAGTAATAGGGTACATGATAAATAGCTTAATAATTATTTATACGTTACATTGTACTATTCAGTTTTCTTGGGCACAGAAATAGTATTTAACTGCTCTATGTAAGTATTCATCTGCTTTTTTATGGTAACAAAGTTGAATTTACTTTAATTTATATCTATTGTTGTACTATATTATATAAAACAAATTGAACATTATTCCCATAGCCCGGATAGCTCAGTCGGTAGAGCATTGGACTTTTAATCCAAGGGTCCAGGGTTCAAGTCCCTGTTCGGGCGACGCTTTTTTAATTAAAAAAAGGCTTTTTAATTTATAAATATGTATATTATGTTCCCCAAAGGCGTACAATTTGCGACCTTTACCCAAAATGGATTGTTAGTTTACCATTTTCTGATTTTTTTTTTTTTTTTTTTATAGGAGAGGGGGCAAACGAGCATGCGGCTCACCTGATGGTAAGTGACTACCGCCGCCCATGAACAACCGCAACACCAGGGGAATTGCAGATGCGTTTATTTTAATCACTAAACGCTGATTGTATCCAACGGACAATATCGTTTACCCTTGATAGAGAAACAAGATAAAGGTGTTGTTGACTCCACAGCTCCATTATTGAGGCAATATACTGTGTCTGGTCACGGTCTAGTGATATTCTAGGTACTTACTTATATTACAACTATTCTAATACACAAATATGCTACACCCTGAGGCTATAGATTATTGTGTATACCATTAGTCTAATCCTCTTCCCCTCTATGTTGCAGCCATTTTTTCTTGTGATATTTTTTACGTGTGTACAAAAAATAATATCTCTCAAAGTTTTGGTCTTACTGAGTTAAAAACAGGCTCATTCGGAGTACAACAATATTGTCTATTGTTTACATTACAAAAAAATGGTTTCACATACTTCATCACACATCGTAACTTTAAAAAAAAATATTAAGTCTAAAACAATATCAAAATATTATGCAAATTGGCAAATTATTGTAATTTACAGCAAAAACAATTCCGATTACCCTTTTTATTTTGTACTAGATCGACAGATTTTGAGCTAAGCTACAATAAAACTACAGTTACGTAGTACTATTATTTATTCTATGTAACATATCTACAGTAAATTTTACAGCTGTAGGTATGCCAATTACTTTGAGAATTATTGTTGTTTGAACATAGCGTATGCGCAAGCACAAAGGGCCTTTGTCGAAACCAGTCGAAACCCTACAGGAAAGCATTAAAAACGCTTAAGGCGCAGGTTGAGCAAAATGTCGCGCTAGTCGTTATTTGGGCGGTTTTTAGAAGCTATCTACTTTTTATTTAAAAGATATATCAACAAATAAAAAACACATTATATTTCTACATAATCTTGATTCCATAAAAGCTATATCCAATTTTTTTTTAAAGGAATAAATATTAAAATAATCTCCTTACAACGAAACCACATAAATGTGAAATTATTATTGATAACATGCATCTCCTCGTAAAGTAAGTATTATTTTATTTTGCGATTTACACCAATGGATAGGCAATTTATTAATGAACATTTCTATAGTAAATTTTTTTTCAAAAGACCAAAATTTGATTTTATTAAGAAATTATTTTAAAATCTGGGCATATTTACTGCTCACGGGCTTGCTGAAGTCAGTGAGCGCTGAGCTCTTCGACGCGAAGCCCGTGTTGTTAGAGCGTCGACCAACGCATACGCCACGTCATATGAGTCGATAATATTATTACTTATTAGGTTATTTATAGGTAGTATTATTTGTTTGTTTTGGGTATAATTTTTCGTATTGGTTATACATATATTTGTTGTGTTTTTTACTGCGCGATGAAGCTTTTTGCGTGTATTTTCTTTGAAGTAAATGCAAATAAAAAAATGAAGCACCATTAGCATGTAAGGTTCGAATCTATAATTAAAATTTCGACAAATATTATAATTTACACTATAAAAGGCTAATTCAATATTATCACCCAACCACAATATCTTATCAGGTATAGTACTGCCTCGTTGGTCTAGTGGTTGTAGTAGTGCGACTGCTGATCATGAGGTCCCGGGTTCGATCCTGGGTCGGGCAAAAAAGTCAGTTATGAGTTTTTCATTTATGTTCTAAGTTATAATTAGTATTACTAAGTTATAGTTTTTTGCTAAAATATAGTATATTATTTATTGCTTCTTTTTTCTTCTTTTTCAAAAAATAATTGAATACATAAGGTGTTCTATACTTATAATTCGGTAAAAAGTATCTAAGTAGGTACTAATATACCTACTTTTTACTACTAAAAATTTTTAAAACTAAATTTAACTAAAAAGACTAAACTGACCATTTATTTTTTAACTCATAACAGGACATGGGTTTATTTATACTCTAAAAACTATAACTTTATACAATTAGTGTTCACTATAAAATTATATTCGGTATAGACGGTAATTAATAAATGCAACATATTTTTTTTAATTATTAATTACATTTGTCAGTGGATTAAATTTGCTTTAATAAAGTTGGTGATGATTTTAAATAAGAATAAAATTCTGCTCAAGTTTTTTATTGTTATCTTTGTTAACAACATCGCCTTTAGAACTCTGGAACCGTAAGTGTTTCTTTCAGACGTCCACAATTTATGCAAAATAAAAAAATACTCTTTCTACCGGAGCATTCGTACCAGGTAGACATAAAATATATTCGATTAAAAAAAATTATGTTGAAGATTGTTGACTTTGAATACTTCCATCCAACTAGTTACATGACAATTTTGTGTCCCGGAGCTTTGTTTGGGGACAATGGGACAGGAGACCGAGAAAAGGGACAGTCCCGTTCAAAACGGGACGTATGGTCACTTTAGCTATAACCCGGCGACCATGAAGCAAATACAAAGTTAGTCTTTGTATTAGCTTCATGGTGGCGCAGTGGCTTAGCAATCAGTTGTTGCGCTGGGGGCCGCGGGTTTGAATCCCGCATGGAACAAGTATTTGTATGGCCTACAAATAATTGTTCCGGGTCTGGATGTTTGTCTTTGTGCAATTTATGTTTGTAAACTGCCTCCACGACACAGGAGAAAATCCTAGTGTGGGGGTAACGTTTTTTTACAATTGAAATTGAAAGATTGAACCCTTATACTTCTTGTTGATTTTTGTATTAGTAGTTAGGTATATTACTTTTCAATACGTGACACGTAAAAATTAACAATAATCAAAAAAACATCTACGAAACATCCTATTTATTTTCTACTGCCCCACGGAGCCGTCGCCGGGTTATAGCTAAAGTGACCACACGTCCCGTTTTGAACGGGACTGTCCCTTTTCTCGGTCACCTGTCCCATTGTCCCCAAACAAAGCTCCGGGACACAAAATTGTCCCGTAACTCGTTGGATGGAAGTATTCAAAGTCAACAATCTTCAACATAATTTTTTTTAATCGAATATATTTTATGTCTACCTGGTACGAATGCTCCGGTAGAAAGAGTATTTTTTTTATTTTGAATAAATTGTGGACGTCTGAAAGAAACACTTACGGTTCCAGAGTTCTAAAGGCGATGTTGTTAACAAAGATAACAAATAAAAAAACTTGAGCAGAATTTTATTTTTATTTAAAGTCATCACCAACTTTATTAAAGAAAATTTAATCCACTGACAAAATGTAATTAATAATTAA